CACACACACACACACACACACACACACACACACACACACACACACACACACAGTTTGTCGAGTGTGATCACAGATCTAACAGAAACCAAGCAGTGGAAACTGTCGAGACGTTATCCGACTCAGAAACAGGTCAATCATTTAATGAGGCCTTTAAATCTGAAGCTACAGGAAAGGTGTGAAACCACTTCCTGCTGTAAGCTGATGCTGCACAAACCAAGAAGACATCCTAAACTTAAAATAAAAAAATACTTTGAAAACACACGCACACAAAAAAACAAAAAAACCAAAGCAGTTAACTCCTAGAATAAATACATTTACAAATCAAAAAAAGAAAGCAACGTTCTGCTCTTGGAAATGAATTTAAGGCATCTCAGGAATTCAGCAGGTTTCTCAAGTCTGCTTATRGTGTTTTCACACCTCACACACAKGCACACACACACCGAGCAGAGGGAAGAAATCACGACGACGATCTGAACAAATTATTTTCCTGCTGAACGACTCGCCTCAGCCTCACATCACGTTAAACACGTTCCAACGGATTATTAGAAAAGGATTTCAAATAAAACAAGGAAAACGGTCTTTAAAACAAATAATTAGCAGGTTAGAGAGATGAAGACTGATGCTCTGTGTCTGATGTGTGTTCTTCATGCTGCTGCAGTTTAAATCTGTTAGTTTGTGTGACAAACAGAACCAATCATATCCCAACCAGCAGACATGCAATTTGTACAGAGCCCGCGAGGGGACATGGGAGATTTTTTTTCTTTTGCGTTCCTACGCAATACCTTTTGCGTTACCTCGCAAAAGTACTTTATCACTGTTGTGCCTGCCGGTTTATTAGCAAACTRACATTTACCGTTAGCGAGTTAGCCTACTGCTTTAATTCAGCTTTAGAATAAATATATCACACAGCCACACATGGAAGTATGTCATATGTCGATATRTGAACACAGTGCAGCCACYCAACATCAATGTCAATTTCACGAACTTGTGYCGACACATCCTGTTTTGGTAACRSGATATTTCAAAATAAAAGTCTGATTTAATTCAGTTCATATTCAAAACACTTTTGCATGGTAACGCAAAACAATATTGCGTGGTAACGCGAAGGCATTGCGAGGTAACGCGAAGGCATTGCGTGGAAACGCGAAGGCATTGCGTGGTAACGCAAAGGCATTGCGAGGTAACGCAAAGGCAGTAACGCAAAGGTAGTAACACAAAGGCATTGCAAGGTAATGCAAAGGCATTGCGAGGTAATGCAAAGGCAGTAACGCAAAGGTAATAACGCAAAGGCATTGAGAGGTAACGCAAAGGCATTGCGTGGTAACGCAAAGGCATTGTGTGGTAACGCAAAGGCAGTAACGCAAAAAGGTATTGCGAGGTAATGCAAAAAGGTATTGCGAGGTAACGCAAAAAGGTACTGCGAGGTAACGCAAAAAGGTACTGCGAGGTAACGCAAAAAGGTACTGCGAGGTAATGCAAAAGGTACTGCGAGGTAACGCAAAAGGTACTGCGAGGCAACGCAAAAGGTATTGCAAGGTAACGCCAAAGGAAAAAAAAGTCCCCTCGCGGGCTCCGTAAGTTTGAACTAACTCAGGCTACATCTAATATAAAAATCCTGATGACAACTAAAAACTTTTTTTCAAACCAGCATTCTTGTAAACAGAATTAGTTTCTACTATTTGCAGAATTAGTTCCTTTGAGAATATCTTACATATCAAAGTAAATGTGTTGCTACATGATATCTTTAACTAATTTAAAAATCAATCAAACTGAATTGTGAATCATCGTGAATCGAATCAGGCCCCTGTGAATCGAATCGATTTGGGAAATTTGAATCAATACCCAGCCCTACTGTTAATGGAGAGATTTAAATAACTTAYTATTAAAAACTTTCTTATTGTGACTCATTTTGTCCAAACAGGTCACTTATGTCATTGTCCACTCCTTATTGGGCATGACAATATATGAATCAGAGTTTATATCAAATAACTTGTATTTCTGTCTCTGTATTTTAGTTTAACAATGTTTTGGATAAATACAAGCCGACCAGCTGCCTCCTGGTGTTTGATCACACACCTGATAACTGAGGTGCATCATTTATTTATTTATTTGCATCGCAGCCCTCTGGATCGGTGCCTAAAACCCATCAAGCAGTTTTCTTGATGCACTTTAAAAGCAAACACTCTTCCGGTAATAAAAGGGGGGATAAATGAGTGAAGATTTTCTAACACTCAGACTCTCATAGGCTGAGCAGCCACAGCTCGGCTCAGAGTATGAATCACCAAACGGATGTTGGGGAGGGACGACAAAAGGCAGAGAAAAGCAGATATAAATACCGCGCGGCTGCTTGTTGCTTTTAAACCTGGATTACTGGAGGGCTAAGCCCTGACAGAGCTTACTCCAAAGTTAGCCTCGCAGCCAGTGGGCCACGGTGAGGCGTTCACGAGGGAGGCTTTGCACAACGCCGGTCAGGGGGGGCCGAAAACAAAGAGAGAGACGAGAAAGCTGCCGGGTTGAAACCAACACTTGGCACGGTTCAGCGATTCTGTCTCAGCTGTTCTGGTTGGCCTGCTGTGATGTCAGCTCTGCTAGCAGTTAGCTTAGCTTCAGAGCTAATAATCTAATTGTGCCTGCTAATGAACTTATCCAAACACATTTAATTGGTTTGGTCTCAAAACACAGTCAGGAAGCAGGAGGGTAACCTTGTTGTCCACATCGGAGATTTAAAACAAATTAACTGAACTAAACTACAGAAGAGCACATTCTTCACTAGAGACGATAAAAACCAACAGATGTTTTAATATAAAACCACAAATACCAGAAAATATAAAAAGGTCCAGTGAGTTACACAACAGGATATAAATACTGCCACTATCAGGCTTGTTTGTTTTCTTGTGTTTGCCAGACAACCTTATCACTGCCCGAGTACAAAACACTCCAGCCTGTCCCACAGTCAAAGTCAYACTCCCAGCAGGCATTTCKCTTCACACACACAGACACACASGTCTGGGTTTTATATCCCCATGGGGACTGTGGATTGACTTCCATTATTTTTTTTTTAGAAATTTATATCCCAACCCTGACCATTTACCCTAAAATTAACCTCACAGGTGCCTACCTGACCCTAAAACTAACCTCACAGGTACCTACCTGACCCTAAAACTAACCTCACAGGTGCCTACCTGACCCTAAAACTAACCTAAACTCAATTCACACCTTGGTCCTAAACCCAACCCCCCATCCATAATCTGCATTCATACCCGTGGGGACCAGGCATTGGTCCCCACAAAGCTGTTTTTTGGGAAAATGGTTCCCACAATGTAGGAAAAACGTGCACGCACTTATAATCTCAACCACCTCCAACAGCTCAGGCCTACATTTAGAAGGTAAACAAACTAAAATCTACGATGAGTTCATTAATAATGCAGGTTCTGGGAAAACTCTACGTATCAAACAATAACATTTATTGGATAAAACATGTTTAATGTTGTGACTTCAAAGATGATCTTTGAGCTAACATCAACTTGAAATCATTCACAGTTTACTTCGCTCATCTGTTCAGATTAACTGTAGTTTACAGCTACACCTTATGCAGGAAGATGTCTGATGAATAAAGTTAAAACCTTTTATCATCAGGTTATTTTTATGAACTTAAGATGTGAAAATCATCATAAATTAGCATCTGTTAGTCTCAACAGGGATCCTTGTTATCTTCCAAAGAATAAAAAAGGAAAACTGATATTAAAATCCGATTAAAGTTTTTGTTTTTAAAGTCGACTAACTTCCTGGTGAAGCTTTGTGCAGTAATGTTATCCTGATAACGTCTGACRTTTTTCCATAACGCAGACTATAAGGGTGTAAATAAATGTTTTTTTTTCTATCAAATGTTAGAAAAAGACTTTGCAGCTATTTAGACTATAAATTAYGGTTGAACATCTAGTCCAGGACGTTACAATCTACTATCAACATACCTGAAGTTGTAAATGAAGATAACACAGTAAGTGATATACAGATATCAGAACAACAATTATTTGTGGCATAAAATGTACAAGTCTTAACCACTAAGTTGAAACAGAAATATGTTTATTCAAAAATTAGATCCAATCTGACATCTTCTGTTTCAAATATCTATCTTCATGCCATTATACTCTCAACCATGTCGTACTGTTTACCTGTTTGGTCTCTTACAACAAATGAAATCTTAGAACCCATAGTTAGGCTCTACAACAGGGCCTACAAAATTCATAAAAAACTTGCTGGTTGGACTCATCACTGTACAGTTCTTTCATTGTCTGATGCCTTGACTTTTCAGAATTATGTTTTGTATAGTGGTATTAATTTATATTTTCAGATCTTCCAAGGTGCCAATTATGGAACTCTCTGTGCATTGTTGCCCAAATCAAATTCTGGAAGTGGTCATACAACTAGATCTGTTACAAAAGGACAACTGATATTACCAACTTTTAAAAACTGTTARGGCCAGAGGTCTTTCTTCTATGTTTATACTAAAGCATGGAATGACATTCCTCAAAACATAAAGTCCATTTCAAAACTACAGCCCTTTAAGAAGAATCTTGTCTGGCATCTGCTGGACACTTTTTGTTGTGCTCATATTTAGACGTCCTATTTTGCAAACGCTGCCTTCCTGAAATTTGGTATGCTTGTTTGTCTTTGTGTCTATGGTGTATAATGATGTGATTGTGATGCTGTATTTCAGAGTGTTTTATGTGCTGCAGAACAGGAACCTGCTGTAAAACAGCAATTATGCTGAGTCAGGCTTGATTTTTAGTAATCTTTTCCTGTTAAATAAATCAAATCAAATAAAAATGACAGATCTGAAAGAAACTGATGGAATCTGCAAAGAGACTAAAGAGTTACACGAGGCCCTGGTGCTGCAAATGTAAAGTTTGTCAGAAATATACATTTATATCAGTAAAAAAAATGTAAAAATGTACAAAGAGTATTTACAGCAAAAAAAAATCCATTCATTTCTATTGGTCTTTATGAACTGAAGTCCTACCCTCGCTTTACTTTTTGCAATATTTGCAAAACAATAAACTATTTTGTTAATTCTGGTAGATTGTGTGCCAGCTGCATTCAGCTCCATCGTGCAAACCACATTTAATATTTGGGTCTTTTTATTTAAGTGAGCGCAAGGTGAGGTTTGAGTTTAGAGGATATGTAACTGCTGATKGTGCAGATTATTTTCCTGTGTTTAGGATTCTCTGCAGGCGTGAGGTATCCAAGCTGTGATTCCTGAAAAATGATTTACAGAAAGCCAGAATTGAATTTAACATTTTGATTCAACAGCATTTTTCTTTCACTATTAAATAATTTTCACCACTTTTGCTTTTGATTCAGACCACATGCTAATAATTCTGCCAACGCTTATCGACTCAGAAATGTTTTGCGTACTTCAACCAGCGTCCGGCAGGTCCCAAGTCTGTTGTTGCTAAATTGTTGGTCAGGAGCCAAAACATTTAGACTGGATTATTTTTTACATTTCTGAATGGTACAACTGGGTCTTAGGAAATGTTTGCYTTCATTTGTTGACCACAAGGCTCTCGCTGTGATTAATAATTAAAATCGTCTACTTGGAAARTGCAGTCAGTGTATCTGCAGCCAGAAAAATACTGCAAAAATAATGTTCTACGAGCCTTGCTAATTATTGGTAAATTTGTCCAAAACAACTAATAATTACTCACATGTTATCCTTGTTTATACTCTGATGATTTCAAATCATTAACTTCATGTTTATTATGAGATCTTGTAGAAAGAAAACATCATAAACTAAAAAAAATACAATTTCATACTATTAAAATAATGCTTCAAAAGATACAAAATYCAGTAAACTCGGTGTTTGTATCAGAAAGCATAATTCACTGGGTAACCAGGTATTTGTTAATGTATGTATAACATTAACTATATTTAAATGAAACTGGGAACTGTCACATAATAAACATTTAATATCTTATCAAAATAGACTCATCGAAACCATCAATCAAGAGCAGTTTAATACAACCTTTGATCAAAAGTATAAATAATAAAATCCTAAACAGCTCATCACCATCCAGCCGTCACAGAATCAGATTAAAACACTTTAATCCTGATATATTTGAGCCTCCTCACCTTCCAGGAGACGCTGAATTATCGAGTCGATGTTTAGTTTGTCCGGCTCCGCCATTTTCTCTATTTTCTGTCGTTATAATCGGGAAGTCGAGACCTTCTGGTGGTTTCCTGCGCGTTTCACCTTCAGATTCAAACACGGGAGAGAACCAGAGACACAAAGCGGCTGTTAGTCACGAAAGAGGCCATCGCGGTTTGTCAGAAACGAATCTGTCAGGCTGGTAAATCCACCGGAAGAAGGAGAATCAATGAGCGAACGAAGCCGCTAGCATTAGCATTAGCAACACTTTTTTTTAAAATAAACTTTATTGAATCCAGTCAACATAAGCGACAAATTCAAACTCGAATGGACGCTGGCAAAACCTCTCTAAAGACGAATAAAATGTTCCCAAACCTTGCCTTCAGATTTGTGTCTATCCTCCCGGTACTAAAGACGTATGAAATATTTAGTCCGGAGGTTAAATTTGACCCTGTTCTCCTGGTTTTGTCCCGGTCGTTCCCCCCCACCCCAGGAACTTTAAAACAGGGCCGCGGCGCGTAACGTAGAGGCTGAATCAAACGGAAGTGTTCACACGTTCCTCGTAACGCGATTGGTCCGTTGAGCGTTCGAAAGCTCCGAAGCTTACAGCCTATTGGATGAATCCGGAGTCTGTCTTGGTGTTAGGCTCCACCCACAGTCGTTCACAAAGCTATTTTAAACAAGCATTCAATGATTTTAAACTCATTTTGCGCCCTCTAGTGTTTGATTTTTGACTTGTAACTTTTGCAACACATTAAATCAGTGGTTCCCAAACTTTTTGTCTTCTGACCCACAAAATATCCATGGCAAAAACTTGTGACCCCAAATATTAC